GGCGGTCCAGGCTAACTTGGGTTGTTCCCCACTAAACGAAGTCGTGACCCATAGAGGAGATCGGCAGCCGTCTGGGATGCCCAAGTAGCCCTGTTTATGGTTACCATCGCTCACGCGTTTGCAGGGAAGAGACTAGACAAGGTGTCCTAAATAAATACTAGGCAATCAAGCCATCTGCCAGCAAGCAGATGCCTGTAAATGCAAAACTAGCGGTCGAAATATTAAAACGAGCAAAAATCCCTTCTTTCTCCCTCCCCTCCGTCAACTCCAACAAAAAACAAATTCTACACTTCAACAGCAATCATCTTCTGTCTCATAAACGTAGCTGTGTCAGAATTCTATTCCAAAGAGTCGAAACATATTGCAGCACGCCGGAAGACAAAAGGGCTGAACGACTGTACATACAGAACCTCTTTACAATCAATGGTTATCGAGAGAAGCAGACGTAGGGCGCACAGACGACGGCCAAATGAGCAGCAACCTTAAGTCTGCAGGGCCATTCCCTACATTAAAGAGGTCTCCGAGGCGGCGTCTTGACTGCTACAACCCGCGAGGGTAGGCATAGCCCATTGACCCCAGGCAAAACTACGACGCAGTCTATTGAAACCTAGGGACACACTTCCACTCGATGAAATCTCAGGGGTTGACTACAAAACGAGTTGCAATTAGGGCGACTGCAGTTATGTTGGGAAAACTAGGCAGAAATTGCGGACCAGCATACAAGAGCACAAATCGGTGCTCAGAGGCTTGATCCAAGCCACGCACGTTGGAGAAGCTGGGCATACTTTAGATCTCCAGAGAGCTACCATCTTAGGCCGGTGCAACACAAAAACGGAACGGCTGACACTCAAGACTTGGTACTCCGATTCCAACTCTATCAAAAGGCACCTGGACCTTCCTGCGGACTGCAGAGTTCTACGTCATCACGTCAGTAGGGCTCACGACCAAGTAACCTTACTGGACTTAGGAAGGCCATACACACACGGCCCGATGGCGAGTCTCCTCGGCGAGGAAGAAGAAGAGCCACCAGACCGACCACCCAATAAAGGTTCACTCACCTCCCCCCGACGAAGGGCTGGCTCACAAAACCCACTGATAAAACTCCCGCCAACCATCCCCAAAGAGGCGGAGGCAGAGGGAGAAGAGAAATAACAATCAGCATGAGGCCGACCAACACGGCACGCCACATGAAATTTGCGGCCGATTAAGTGCACTTTACGATTTGACAATGGGAGGCCGATCAAGATTTTCGAAACGTCAGCACCCGTTTCGGTGAGTCCATCTTTTTCTTCGATACGGACATCGCTGATCTCAGCGAGACATGCTTTTCCCACCAACGCTAGCTGAGAGAGGTGGACGCCGGCCATGCCATATTCAGGAGCGGCCGCCCAAAGACAGAGCTACGTAACGCTTTGCCAACCAGGACAAAATCGTGGAACGACTGCCCTGTCTTCGGCATTGACGACCGACTGATGTCCCTGTAAAAGCCTCATCGGGGGTCCAAACTCACTACCATCATCACTGTCTACCTCCCAAAATGAATAGTTGCAGCGATGATAAGATCAAGTCCTAGGAAAACCTGCACCCACTCTTTGCGCCTGTGACGAAGGCGAAAAAGGTAGTTGTTTTTGGTGACATCACTGCCCGCGTCGGCACAGATCATGCTGCCTGGACGGGAGGGCTGGGTCAGTACAGAATCGCTGGCTGCAACAAAAAGACCTCCCTATTC